GTAGATTACATTCAACATACCATCTTTCACTTTCATGAAGGTCTATCTTTCATGAGACTATAATCATATTGAGGATAAAATATAACTCCTCTTTATTTTGATGACTTCCAGAGCTGAGAATAGTGCCTCGCATCACCAGTTATTTATTAAGATATGTGGGATATTTAATACCGTCTTCTATCTAACACAAGGCCTAAGAACGGACAAATGGATGTCCAAATAGCCCAGGCAGCTGGATCTCTGTAATTACTTACATGTTTCCTGGCAAGCTTTTGTGGACTACTCAGTTCTTTGCTCAAACCTGTATTTCATGTCAGGAAGAGAGACTTTTTGTTCTATATTATTTATTTTAAAAATGCTATCTTAAGAGTCTTTTGGCTGGAAGGTATTACAGTAATAGCTGTTTAGTAACATGGGTCAAGAATACTTTCTGTGGTCATCAATAGATTTAAAGAGAATTTTGGATTGTATTTGTTTATTATAAAATTTGACGAGATTTTCTTTTTTTCTTTTATTATTATTTATTATTATTATTTTTTAATTTTATATATTTTTTACATCATTTTTCATTTTTGCACAAAGTATACATTTTCATCTTGGTTATCACTCATAGCAGGAGTTTAGCTTTATTTTCTTTTTGATAAAAAATATTCAGCAGAGAAGTTGGTGTTCCTAAGTAGAAGAGAAAACTTTAAAGGTTTGTGTTCACAAAATATTTCAGGGTCTCTGCCAGTCCCTAGGCGATCTTCTTGTCGCTAGGAAAAGTGGTTGTAATGGAAGGATAGATTCTCCCCCAATACCTACTGTCACCCTGTGTAGGTAACTTATCTGCTCTTCATCATCTAAGGCTGGGCCCTGATTTTGATCAGATGCCATCATTTTCTATTCAAATGAGGGTGGTTTCTATAGAAATTGTTCTAAATACATGTGTTTTTTAGGCTATATGTAGTTATTACCAGATGGCTGAAACATGCTGTTAAAATGCATAGTCATTATGTTTTTGTTTTTAATTTTTATTTATTTATTTTGAGTTCTTTTTAAAGAAACTAGCCTCCCCGTTTTATTTTAAATATAGTTCATTAAGTGAAAAGAAGATACGGAACCACTTTTTGTTTGATTTTAGAGAATATGTACATATGTATAGATGGATATGTTCAGTAACATTCATAGTTAACGTTCATATTTTGCTTATGGCAAAATAAATATAAACGTAAATATTTGTACAGTACTATATATTTCACTTTTGTGTAATAGCATGTATTACCTTTTCAACAAATAACAATGAATTTTACTGCTGTAGTTGTTATATCTTAAATTTAATCCATTTGGACTTTACCATTGTACATGGGGTTAGGGAGTGATGCAACTTTGTTATTTTATGTGTGGCATCCCAGTTTTTCTGGCACCATTCTTTTTTTTTTTTTTAAGATTTATTTATTTATACAAGAGGAGGGTATAGGCCAGATGCATGGGAGGGTGAGAGGATTCACTAGAGACAGAGCAAAGAACAGAACAGGCAGACTGATGAAATACACTGCCTTGGGGAGCAGCGGGTGAGACAGGAGCACCACCAGGGAGGCCTTTCCAGCAAAATTTTTTTTTTCCAAAGTATATATTTTTTAAATTTTATTTTTTTATTTTTTATATCATTATTCATTTTTGAACAATATTTGCTTCCCCCCAACCCCTCAGGTGTTGTCCCCATTGAGTTTCCCTCACCAATGCACCCCTGCACCATCACCTCAGTCCCCTGTGCTCTTCCCTCCCTCCCTCGGATCCTGCTCCCTCCTCCTCCCCTGCAGGATGTCTCCAGTTTATAATTGTCCCTTTTTGCTTTCTTGTGTTTTGTACTGTTATTATTTTTTTATATTGATGTCTTATTTGGTTCCCCTATATTCCTGCTATAAGTGAACCATTCTCAAAATACTGTCCTTCCCCTATTTTAGAGTAGATTAGATGCTACATGTATATGGATTAGTTTTTGGGGCTTTTGAGTCTATCCCACTGATGCATATAGCCATTTCTAAGATAATACCATGTTGTTTTGAATACTGTTGCTTTTGTATGAAGTCAGGTAATGCAATACCTCTGTTTCTCTTTTTCTCAGGGCTGCTTTTGCAACTGGAGTTCTTTGGTGGTTCCATATAAATTTCAATATTTTTTGTTCAATTTCTTTGAAGAATATTGCTGATACTTTGATGGGGATTACATTAAATTCATAAATCACTTTGGATAGAATACTCATATTGATTCTTCCCATTCATAAGCATGGGTTATTCTTCCATCTCTTATATTGCTAACTCCATTAGTAACATCTGAATGTTCTTATTTGCATAGATTTTTTAACATCCCTAGGTCTATTGGCAGGCATTTAATTTTTTTCAAAGCAATTATAAATGGGATATAGTCTTGATTTCTTCTTTTATTTCTTTTCTTTTTTTTTTGGTATGCAAAAATCCTCTGGTTTTTTTCATGTTCATTTTGTAATCTGCTAGTTTGCCACATTTTTTTTATTATGCCTAGTAACTCTTTGATGAAGTCTTTAGGATTTTTCTGTACATACTATTATGTCATCTGTGAATACTGATAGTTTCATTTCTTTTCTGACTTGGATCCTTTTTACTTCCTGTGTGTGTTTGATACCTCTGGCCAAAATCTCTAGTACTAAGTTAAACAGAATTGGTGACAATGTACATGTGTAATTTTTTAAGTTAAAAATTATGACTTCTATCAACATAAAACACAGCCTGTAAGATAATTATTAACAAAACAAAAGAAAGAAAAAGTTGCCAATATGACACAGAGCAAAAGAGCAAAATCATAAAGTAATGGGTTAATTTATCATGTGGTAAAACGACTCAAGGAAGAATCATACTTCCTCTGCCAAGTTTTTGCCAACATGCATAAATACTGCTTTATGTTTGGGGGAGGTAATGGTAGAAGGAAAAGATCAAGATACAGGAAAAGAAGAGACTCATAGTTGTTTAAATCCACATAGAATAAAAAACTGATTGAACCATTGGCAAAGGACCGGGTTTCTTTTCCCTCAGGAGCTTATACTCTAGAACTTTGAGATGAGTGGTCTCTAGGATATATTACTGCCACCCTTTGATATTTGGAGATTGTGTATTTACTCCATTTCTATTCCCCAATAAGTAACATCAAGAAATACCTTAATTCAAAGTTTTTGGTGATTTAGATCTGCTTTTCTAGTCTTCACCTTTTTGTTCTCATTTATATTATTTTCCAAAATTAGAAACAAAGGCATTTAAAGGAGCTGGAAATTTTAAACATTTGTATGACATGGAATTGTCTTTACATACTGAATTTAACTGCAATTCTCACAAAAACCCTATGAAATAAGTACAGCTCCCACCCACATTTCACAGACCAGAGGACTGAGTTTTTGAAAGACTGGCTAACTCCTTCTAGATCCCAGACCAGTGAACAGTCTGACTCCAGGGCCCCACCTTTAAGACTGCACCTGCTACCTGCTGCTTACTGCTGGCCTGATAGCTGCCTCCTTTCGGGCTCTTCTCTGTGCTTGAAATGAATGCTTTTCAATTCCACCTTCGTATGTTCCCATCCCCTCATCCCTCTAAGTGCAACCCATATGACACTTTTTCCTTGAATTACTCCAGGTGGCTATGGTCCCATTACTCCAAAAATTCTTCAAAGTATTTGCTATTCAAAGTGTCACAGCCCCAAAGCAAGGCATCACAAGGGAGCTTTTTGGAAATGTGAATCTGAATCTCCCACCCAATATAAGATACTGCATTTAAATAAGCTCTCCGGTAGCTTATATGTAAAGTTTGAGAACTACATTATTGGACTTTTTTTTTGTATTGTATCTCTATTGTGGATGAATGTATTTCTGTGTACAGACCTATTTTATATATTCAATTGGACTGTAAGCTCTAATTAAAGGAAGATTTTTTTTTTTAGGTATCCATAATTGTACATAGCATAAAAGAAGGCACATAATTTGTTTTGTGGTATAACATAACACTTAGACTTAGAAATTTTTATCATTTCTAGGTCAGAAAGTATTTGGAATAGTTTGCCCTTGGGTGCTAATAGAAGCACCTTTTGTAATTATTTTATTTTCCTAAATTCAGGCTTTTGAAAGACTGGAAATATTAAGAGGCATCTTCTAGATCCCTAAAATGAAAATTTTTCTTTCTGGAAAAGCCTTAGGTCTATAACCAGTCCTTGGAATAGAACATCTTTCATTACCAAAGCACAAATATAGATACTACAGTTTGGGGGAAAAATCAATACTTAGAAAATAGAGATACAGAAAGCTCAAGACTTCTATCATTGTCATGTGTAAAATTTGAGATTTATTTCTCTATCGACAGGACACTTGCTGTCTTCCAGGAACCTTGGAATGGAATTTTGTTTTGAGAACTGTTTGATTCCAAGCTTTAATCTGGAGCTAATTTGTTTAATAGCAAAACTTCAGTCACTACAGATGCTCCTGTATCATTACTTGCTATTTATATGCCAAGGACCAAAAATTAAAGCTATTGATTTTTTTTTAAATATCACTGTGGTTTCCAGTTCTTTATTTAGACACAGTGTTTGCATGTATTTCTATCTCTAAATGTTCTCTGCAAGTGTGTCCAACTGATCACTGAGATTGACAGATGCTTGGGCCCTTCAATCAGCCTTCTCTCCGCTCACAATCTGGCTCCTCTCTTCTTTTCCCAGAATGTATAATTGGAATACATGCGTGAAAAGAAAAGAGGGCAAACACATATAGGTTGCATTTTTTTTTTTTCATTTTTACTGGCTCCATTTCAACAGTCAATATGACCTCTTATAAAGTTCCAAGTCTAAAAATTGTGGAAACATAAATCTGCTCTTTAGAGCTGACAACAGTTTTAACTCAGGGAGGATTCCACTTTACCTCTTTTTAGAATTCCTTTTTTTTTTTTTTTTTTTTGGTGGGTGAGTGTGTGTGTTGTTTTAGTGAGAAGCTCCCTTCCCACCTCAGTCATTGGTTTGCTCACTCCCTTATGTGATGAATCAATGCTTCCAGAACGGGGGCTTCCGAGTGACTGCGGGAACAATTACTTCCAAATGAACTCGTGCATCTTAGCAGGAAGCTCTCAGACCACACCCCAGGTAAAAGGAAGTCTTTGCTTAATGCTTTCAACAACTTTTAAAGGCTGCGCACTGTGGTGTTGGCTGTAAGAGGGCTTGAGGGAGAGCTGCCCGGGTGTAGATAAATTTAACTGTATTTCAAAATGCAATGTTATCTGCGGTTAGTGGAAAGGGCGAGCAGATAAAGGCAAAACTGCTTACTAGAAAACCAAAGAAAATGCCCAGGACTGCTCTTGGTGTAGTGTTAATGCTAAGACACCCTGTAATGCCTCTTCTCAACAGGAGGCTAGTGGCCATCTGCAAGCGTGGGTGTCAACATCGGAAGAGAACTTTCAGGGAAATAGAACGAACGAAGGCATTGCAGCTCCAAACTGAGCAAGGGAGCTATAGCCTGCACGACATAGGGGAAACCCATTTTTAAAAATTATTTTTCAGCTGCCTGGTGAAAAGGTGACAGTCTCAGAGATTTGGAGCCTTTCAAACCATATTCAATTCTTTTAAAGTCTAATTTCTATTATTAAAACAGTTTCCAAAGGATAGAAACTAAGAAGTGTTTTTAAACGGCATCGACAACTGAAAGTGTTAATTGGCATTTAACAAATGCAATGGTATTAACATGCATCTGTTTCTGCTTTGTGTGGAAAGTGATTTTTCATCACCATAGCAATTCATTTCTGGGTGCCTCTGGAACAAATGTGCAGTGGTTCTTTTTTCCCCTTGTGAAACAAGGGAATCAGAGGTCGGTTGGATAACACGTGGCTCTTCAAAACTGCTGCACAATGTAGCTACTATAAATTTTGAATCTTTTTCCAAATGGAATTCTGTGCAAAAAAAAATTCTGTACATCCTTGGTATGATAAAAGGATACTAGGGTAAAGGTGAGGAAAAGAACTGCCTGCTAACACTGTCCTGCCAGCTTAAAAGCAAATGCCAAACTGTTGCCCCTTTTGTGGTTGTTGTTCTGAGGATATATGTGTAGGCAGGAATTTATCCCTGATCTTGTTCTCTAAGAGTAGCTTAGGAAGAAGAATAAATCTTTAGTCCTGTTAGATTCTCTGTTTTATGTTACTCTTGAATGTCATCATGTATTGGTTTAACTAAATAAAATAAAAATTGTCCTAATACTGAAGAACTTTTCTGTAGGAGATGGATGTTTCTGTGGGAAAATGTAACAATGAAGTAGGAAATAATATTACTTATTTTCAGTTGCTTTTCTTGTCAACATGGGGTAATATTTAGAAATTCCTTTGAGAGCATTGTTATGAAAGCACACCTTATTCATTGGTGCATCAGTTTTGGTCAAACTTCATTTCTATATTATTCACTAAAATTATAGCTCTTCACCTTTAAAAAAGCGATAGTTAATGATGTGTCAATAGTAAAGATCTATTTGTATTTTAGAGATAAAAATTCTATTGAATTCAACAAATTGTGCAAGACTTTTAGAGAAGCAGATTTTTATTATTGTATAGGCTTTAGAAGGCAAAGTCACCACCTCTAATGATAGTTATATATATTTCATCACCATGGGGCATTTATGCTCAAGTCTTACATGTATAAATTTCATTTCAAGAGAACCTAAAATCTGTGGTTATCATGTGGGGACATGGGGTCAGGCCTACAGAAACTGCAATGAGGTTTAATCTTACCTCTTCTTTGAAAGAATTATCTTAACTTTCTGCCCAAATGAAATTCTATAATGAAATAGCTGACGTGCTCTCAATGATTTCGTTGCTAGAACCCTTCTCTATCCATCATGATATTAAAGAGGTCAGCCATATAAAGAAATCTCCATAGAGGATAACTCCTCTAAAATGTATGTTGTATGTTGCTGATAAGACTAGTTTGCCAAATCTCATAAGGGATCTAATGTTGCTTCATACAAAAAGTGTTATTATTTTCTGATAGTAAACTGTAACCTGGAAATTATGACTTGACTACAGAGGGGAAATGCATTATTTATAAACAGAAGAGAATGTTAAAAAATTACAGTGAACTTGAAGAGTTTGTATATGTTATACATAGGTATATGTATTTTATATACATATATAATACATATTCAATATTACTTATAAAATATGCATTGTTTCTAGAAAGCGTAGGTGTTTTAGTTTTTCTTAGTTACTAGAAAGTTATACCATATAATTGGTGGTCCAAAGTTATTCAGGGAGTTCTGTGATTTGGATGAAATCTCTTATGATGAAATATAGTTCTCTTTGATTTTGTGTATACAAAGAAAATATCCATTTAATAATTTAGCCCTAGATGGTTTGTTCCAGGTACCCCCGACCCTACTCTCTTATTATGCCATAGTGCTATCAGTCTCTTTCCAGTCTGACCATTTTGTCACCCAGCATAGCTTTCTGTCTGTTTTTTTCCTTTTAGTAAGGATGGCCCTCTTAACATTCTTACTTCACATTCTTTGACTTTCACAAACTCAGTGCCCTTCTTGTTCTTCATCCCAGATTCTCAACTGAGGGCCGAAGACTACACCTAAATACTTACCTAGAATCACCAGACTTCTAATCCCAAGCTTTCACATACCATACGAGGACCCCAAGCTCTTCTTTCAAGCACTCATCAGACTATCAAATCAGGAGAAATCTAGTCTCTTGGCTCTGAAAGTTCTGATTCCTCACCTATCCAAACTGAACCCCATGATTGACAATTTGTCCTACTCTCATCAGTTAGCCTCAATTTCCTTACCCTGGTAATACCTCTGTCAAAATGATCTCCAAACATCAGTTCTATAAATGCTACTTTATAGAAGTTGCACTTTCTCTGTTCTTTGATAGGAAGTTGAGTGTCCTGGGAGAGTATATCAAATAACCAAACTAACGGTTTCACTATAAATTCATAGATTTATATTTGTGCTGGGCCGCAGGGTAGTCTGTCAATCCTTTTATCTGTTTGTGGTCAAGATTCTTCCCTGTTGCTGTTCGTGATGTTCTAGATTTGTCTGTGTTTCTTAAAATCCCATGTCACCTTTGCTACTTCTTCATGGTTACTGTATCACTTAATGTTAGCATTTGAAGGGTTTAGTTGGGCTCCTTTTCTTTTCATTTGTGCTTATTCTCCTTGGTGATCTCATCTTGCCTGGTGGTTAAAATACCATGCATAGGTTAACAATCCTAATAATTTTATCTTTAGTACTAGCTTTTCTGTAAACTTGACTTCTATATCCACATTTCTACTTAGATGAATATTGGACATATCAAATTTTATCTTTATTCTCAAACCAGCTTTACCTGTGGTTTCCCCCAATCTAGTAAATAATATCATTTCTTACAGTCATTCGGCTAAAAAAATTGTATTAATCTTGACTCATCTCTCTATCATATTTCACATCTAATTTTTTCAGCAAATTCTGTTTTTCCTTTACAGTGTAACCAAAATCTTAACACTTATCACTATTATTGTAGCATCCTGTTTGACTTAATGTTCTCTCTTCATAGGTTATTGCAATAGCCTTATAGCCAGTGTTCATAATACTTAATATTATTGAAAATACTCTATTTTTGACATATTATTATGTTTATGGTCTCTTTCCACTGGAATGTAAATTTATTTAGGGTAGAGATTTTTGTTCACTCTTATATTATCAGTCCGTTGATTAGAGCCTGACATTCAGTAGGTATTTGATTAGACCTTGAATCAATGGAAGTAAGTGAAATAAACAAGTTCAAATGAGAGTTCATTTTAGGAGAAGCATAGTAGCAGGACTGAAGACCACACAAAAACATAAAGATACAGGTGAATAAGTAGATATACTCATGGCTATCTTAGAAATTCTCTTCTGATTACTTCAGTGATCTTAGTAAAATGAGAAATAAAGTCATCAGCTCAGAATAAGAATGAAAAAGAAGTTATTAAGGGTTTGGAGAAAGAGGAAAACACATATAATTTCTAGGTGAGTGGGGCAGTGAATAGGCTATGGAGTTATCATATGATTATAGAGGAGCTTTGAGTGGCCTGCTTAAGCCTGTCATATATTTGAAGTTAAACCAGTAAGTATGATTGTTTGATTTCCCCCAGTCACATTTACCTCTGCAGGAGTAGGGTAGGGTAGGTGCTAGGTGGGGGTTACATTTATTGAGGGCTGTGACTCACACAAATGAGAATAGTGATATGAAAGAGGACAAAGCATTTGAAGGGTTGGCATGTGAGTAATTGTGGTCAAATCAGTCATTGATACTTATGAAAATAAAGAAGTACAGGAAAACATAATTTTGGAAGGATTTAGAGATTTTCATGCAGGTGAGGTCTGCTAAATGTTGGAGTTGGAGTCCTAGAGGGACTTGTACAGAAAGAAAAGGAGTGAACAAGAAGAAAAAAAACTATATGGAGGGGATGTGGCCATTGGACTAGACTATGAATGTGAGAGGCAAGGAAGAGGAGAGTTCAAGGATACACAATAGTGGAAAATCTGTCTGTGGAATATTATATTGGGTATTTATAAAAATCATAGAGTTAGAGTGAAATGAAACGGGTTATGGAATCTTTAAAGAAAGAACAGATAACTGTGACAAGGAGAGATATGAAGTGCTGTAACCTGGTGACATGAGAATTAAAGTAGAAGTTTTTAGATAAGAGGGAAGAATGGTCCAGAAGCAGGAAGAACAAGAATGAAGGTACTTCTATTTCCAGGCCGACTTCCAGTGTGAGATAACACAGTGGCCACTGAGAGAAATTCTTGTGAGACAGAGTCCTTCAGAGGCAACCAGGTTTAGTTACTAGAAAAATTTTTAGAGAAGAGGTTAAGGATATGGAGGATGTTTGACTGAATCCCAGAAAGTGTACAATGAAAAGGTTTCAAGAGTTGGAACAGGGTACAAGTGGGGGAAAAAACTAGGCATGTGCATAGGACAGAAATTGAAGGATGACTCAGAGACTTATGTTTCTCACAGGGACTGATGTAACCAGGTGAAAGGCATGCCACCACAAGGCTTTAGGGGTCCAGACATAGAAAGGTGGCCCAGCAGAAGGGAGAGTGCCATGGGGTCTTGGTAGGACCTATCATATTTCCTGTGACAGAGGCATGAATGTGGCAGAGGGGTGGTGTAACTCTAACTAACACTCACCTTTCCCCCACTCCACCATGTTCATGAGCTTTTCTTTGTCTTAGTTAAATTTCATTGGTCAAAAAGGAGGCCATGTTCCTTGTCTTGTTCCCTTAATTTAGTTTGCCTGCTTTCTCTCGGTCTTTGCTTTATTTTACTCTCTAGTGGTTCTTTATTTTTTTTTAAGACTTATTCATTTATACATGCAAGAACTGGGGTACAGGCCAGAGGTGTGGGGCCCAAAGGAATCACCAGACAGAGTGGGGAACAGAACAGGCAGACTGACTGAAATATACTGCTAAGGGGAGCAGCAGGTGAGACTGCTACTGCACTATGTGGGTAGCTCCCTGGCCAGCCGGGGATCGAACTGGTGCTGAAGAGGCTGCAAATAGCTTCACAGTGCTGTGCTTAATCCCTTGTGCCACCAGGGAGGCCCTCTCTAGTGGTTCTTTTCCTGAGTTTGTAGTTATGTTTGAATCTTCCACATAACACCAACAACTAAGGCATTGCTTTGAATCTGCTCCTCTCTAACCACTCTTAACCTTTCTTGTTACATCTAATTCAAATATGAAAGGAAAATCTGCAGCAGTGCCATCTTCTTTTTCTCCTTTCCTATTTAGTTCTAAATGATTGCTCTTGGCTTTCTGACCTTGTCTCTAGTCTTATGTCATTAAAAACCAGAATTATCTATCTAAAATTCTTTTTTTTAATCTATCTAAAATTCTAATGTGACTATGACAGTTCCCAGTGTATAGTTATAGTGCTTTAATAATTCTCTGTTGTTAATTGGACAAAATCCATGCTTTATCCAGCCTCCACTGCTGCTTTTTTCCCATGCTTTTACTGTGGTTTTCTCAGTCTGTGATATCCTTATCTTGTTTTTCACTGAGACTTGAATGTCAGGTGTTGCCTTTCACAGAGATTTCCAAGTTGGGAAAGCACCCCACATCACTTTTCTGTTAGTATTCTGTGCAAACCCTTTTCCTACTTGTGAGTGGTCTATTGATTCTTTCCTATTTGTCATTGTATCACAAAATCCCGAGTGCCTGCCACATAGTCAATACTTAAAATCAGTTTTGAATGAATAAAAAATGATTGGAGAAAAAGGTATATCCTTGAGAGCAGGTGTGACTATCCTGATAGCCAGTAAAGCATACTTTCAATTTAAAATCCATATTTTGGCATTCTCTTTAATGATAAATATTGCAAGTTTCTTGCTTGGTTGATAAATATGAGTCAAATTGAACCTCCCAATCTGGGGTTAAATGGGTAAAAGTCAATTTTGAAACAGACCAGATGCTGTGTTTGTGATGGGTCTACTGAGGTCGAGATGACTGGTAATATTCCAGCAGATCAACTTTTAGCCCTGCTGTTACATTGCCCTCCCCTACAACAGGATCTTCCTTGGGTTGAATTGCTTGGTCTGATAATATGGTATCATAAAAAAGGGATACACTGGGACTATTTTTATAGCTGTTTTCTTTGGCAACCATACACATGATAACTGTACGATAGGCAATTTATCAAAATAAATGAGATAAACGTCATGTTATATAGAGTGAAGATAAACCTTTGACAAGACTGAACATCTAATTTATTACATGTCTCATAGGTCTCGCCTGGTGATTCTGAAGCCAAACCTCTGATCTTCACATTTGTCCCCACTGTCAGAAGACTACCAACCCACACTCAGTTGACTGACACCTCTAAATTCCTTGTTAAAATTCCTGAGGAACCAAGTGATAAGAATCCAGAAACTGTAAATAGGGTAGGATTATTTTTATTCTTTTTTTATATCAAGCCATTAATATTAAATTATCCATAAATAATGATTCAGAAATTTGTATGAATGTTTATTTCCTCTGCCTAATGTGAGACGACTGAAATCTAAGGTTGGCTAAAAATATCATTATGTGTAGGAACTTAAATGTTACCAAATCCCAGGTTCTCTCTAATAGGTTGCCTTAATCCTTTTGAGTTGGCATCTGATTGTTTGCTAGTCACATGACACATTCTACCTCCTGGCTTCTCTCCTTCTCCCAAATGTATCTTAAAATACTAAAAGCAAATTTTTGAAAAGTTTGCATTTATCTTGAACAAAAATATGAAACAGTGAGATGTTATTTTGAATGCAGTAAGTTAGCAGTGTTAAAAAAATGTAATACCCAGATGTTAGGGCAGTTGTGGAGATACTGGCATGCTTATACTTTGCTACTAGTTTTGCAAATTTGTATAATTTTAATAGAAAGCCATTGTCTATAATCATAAAACTCCTTATAGCCTTTCATTAATATAGCTCTTATAAAAGTATCCCAAGGAAATAACACAAAAGAAGAAAACTTGTATGCAGGAAAGTAATTAGGGGAAAATAAAAAGAGCCTATTATCTTACAATAAGAGAAAAGATAAGAATAGGGTAATACATCACATCGACAAAGCTATAATTGCAGTAATTATATAATCCATGACAATGTTAACCTTAAAATATCGAGTGATAAAATAGGTTGTAAAATTATATTTATCTCCTATTATGCCTCTTTAAAATGAGGTCAAGACAGGAAATGCAATTTAAACAAATAAGTAAGCAAACCTGAAATTGACTTGTGTTAGAATAATGACATTTAGCTAAAAAATATTTTTTTCTTTACTACTCAGAGAGGGCAAGTGGAAGGGGAGAGATAAGAACAAGGAGGGGAGGAAGCTCAGTGGACTGTGGTGATGGGTTTTGGGTGATTTGGTGATGGGTAAACTATGGTGGCAATACCTGATGGGGGTATCCAAATATTATCTTGATGAAAAATAAATTTTAAAAATAAAATTTAAAAAAATGTGTTTTAATGCTGTCTTATAATAAATAAAATGTGATTTAGGGGAACTTTGTGCTGTTTTTGAACCAGCTGGCAGGGGGTCAATTAATCTGATTCACCTTGTTTATGTGAACATATCTTATCTAGCAAGTGGTAATACATGTGTCATCCTAGGATTTTTCAATGCTATTAAGTAATTTCAAAGACTAGTGGGGACAAATTATTTCAGAGAAATCCTGATTTCCTGAATAAGTCACTTACAGGAAGTTTTTCTCTAATAGTACTCAACTACATATATCAATATTAATGGAATCCATTGTTAATAGGTGCTCTAAGTATTTGGGACAGTAGATAGGTGAATCATTCTTGGGCGCAAACCTCCAAAATATCCTAGGATGATGACATTCATCTGCTGATTGCTATGATACACACATAACTATAACTGAAAGATTTTCCTTTCTATTTTTAAAACAGTTCAATATTATAATAGAAAAGGTAAAGAATTCCTTGTTCATTCATATATTTGTCAATAATTTGCTGAATACACTGTGTATTTAGCAGTCGCGGGATTGGATTCTGAGTGAATAAATTTGACTCATGTAAGTTGTTCTTGGGGAGGCAGACAATGAAAAAAGTGAAAAGTCTATACTGGAATCTCAGGTGGTAATAAATGCTGTAAAGAAATACATTAAAATAAAGGAATGAGAATGATAGGTTATGAGGGAAGGGGATTATTTTAGATAATTAATAAATGTTTCTAAAATTAAGTTCAAAATAGGCCATTTTATTTATTTTGTTACTTTACCTAATATGTAGTCTGACTTTGAATCCTTTTGTTTTTCATTAAAATTTCTTTCCAATTTGTATTTTTGTTACTGTATAGTTATTATCTCCAATCAGAGACAATTTGTGTTTTATCTTGATTGGATCATCATTAGCTGAAAAAAATCTGGAATGGATATGTAAAATCAACTCCTTAGTTTAGTTATATTTCATCAATGGTTTGATAGCTACATATACACAACACACACACATTAGCAAACATTAAATTGACTACCATAGTTGAAATTTAATTTCTTTAGTGTCTTCTTTAACTTCTACTTCAGAGAAATGTTCAATTTAAGAGAAGAAAGTAATCATAGTGTAGTTCTTTGTATATTTTAGATATCAGTCCATTGTCAGATGTATGGTGTGCAAATAATTTTTCCATTCAGTAGGGTGTCTTTTCATTGATAGTTATGGTTTCTTTTGCTGTACATAAGTTCTTTAGTTTGATGTAGTCCCAGCTATATATGTTCTCTTGTGTTTTCTTTGCTATTAGGGATGTACCCCTAAAGGCATCACTACAGCTTGTGTCATGAAATGTTTGCCTATGTTTTCTTCTATGTATTTTATTGTTTCAGTTTTTTACATCCAAGTCTGATTCATTTTGAGTTGATTTTGGTGTATATTGTGAGACTGTGGTCTAGTTTTATTCTGCATGCTGCTACCCAGTTTTCCCAGCACCATTTATTGAAGATTCTATCCTTGTTCCAGTACATGCTTTTGACTCCTTTATCATAGATTAACTATCCATAAATATGTGAGTTTATTGCTAGACTCTCAGTTCTGTTCCATTGGTTCGTATGTCTGTCTTTATTCTAGTAGAAGGTTGTTTTAATTATAGTGGCTTTGTAATACAGTTTGAGGCCTGGGAGTATAATCCCTCCATTTTCTTTCTTCTTTGTCAAGATTATGTTTGCTATTCAGAGTCTTTGTGATTCCATATGAATTCCAGTAGTTTTGCTCCAGGTCTTTGAACCATGCCTTTGATATTTTTATTGGGATTGCATTGAATCTGTATATTTATGCAAGTTAACTTTTTTATGTGTACATGCAAATAAGAAGCATTTATCATACCAACATCAATACTCTTATGTCTTTACATTTATTTCAGTCTAATTCCAATGAGTACTTGACCTTGAATGCTGGGAGTCAACCAGAGAGAGACAGAGGGACACTGATTTATCCTTCAGAGGTCAGTGGAAAGATTTCACAAGAAAGAGGTTTCAAAGCAGACAAATCTCAAGGAATGCAGCAAAGTGACCTCTTCAAAGCTGAATATGTCTTTATTGTGGACTCTGAAGGGGAAGATGAAGCTACAACCAAGAAAGCTGAACAAGGTCCCTCAGTGGGAATGGGCACAACAGTTACTCGGCCCAAGTCTCTGCCAATCTCCTCCAGTTTGGCCTCTGATGTAGTTCGCCCCAAAACTCGGGGTGTAGACCACCAGGCTCCATCACATCCTGAAATTCCTCCTGGGATGCCCTCTCAGCAAAAGCAGGTAGGTTTTTGCTCTTGTCATAGGAAAAAATAATTGTTAACATAATCCTTGTTGTTGGAGACTGTCTGAAAAGGCCTTCCTATTCAAGTGATATAAAAACTCTCAAAAAAAATGTTAAACCAAAATCACAAGATCATAAATCATCAGAGTGTATATATAGAATATACTCATAAGACAGAAAGGATTGTACAGTTATACTGTGAGTTGGCTGAAGAAAAAAAGTAAATCATTTAATGAGTGGAATTGGAGGAATATTACCTCATTCTTTTGACTCAATCTTGGCGAAGGTTAATATTGGAAGTTTCTTAGGAGAGTATTTGGTGAGCTAGGTGCATCAGGAAGCACATTTCAGATATGAGAAGGATTCAGTGAAATGATATCAAAAGGATATTAGATATTAGATATTTACTTTCAAACTAGTAAAGGAACGCACTGGGAAATACGAGTATGTAGGGAAAATAATTCTCTTCCTCTCTGTGTCTTAAGGAAAATAACTATTGTGGTCCAGGAATTCACCAGGATAGGATGACCTCTGAAATCAGAAGATCTCACCCTAAAACCTAGCAGGATGGCTGAATGGTTCTTTGAAGGTGGTGAGCCTGTAGTGTGGTAGGAAAAGACCCATAACTGTGATGGAAGGAGAGGAAGGGGGGCTATCGGGAGAGAGGCATTTTTGAAGGAAAAAAATAAGACTTTGACATTGATTGGGTGTTTGTTTTAGTAAAATTATAAGATGACTTTGACAAGGCTTATGTAGTATGTTAAGAATGCAGTAGCTGGTTTTGGGGGTAGATAGTGGATGTGGATCTCTTTTTGACAATGGGTATGAGTCAATACCAGTATGACCTGTTTGGGATCTGCTAGCCCAGGCATTTGCAAGCATTCCAAATTAGTTGGGAGAACATTTGTATTGGTGAGTTGGCCTTTCAGTGCTATTAGGACTTGCAAGATTGTAGAGGCATCCCAATCCCATCTTTATTTCTTCAGTCTTTCCTGATTTTTCCTGATACTGTGATGGGTGTTATCATCAAACATTTGATATCTTCATATTGCTTTTTAGTGATAGAAGACTCTCATTGGGGTACCCGTACTCATGTCTACTGGTCTGAAACACTTATCTTGAAATGTATTCTCTGTGATTTTTTTGGAATATTCTATTCATATAATTAAATGTATTATCAGTAAGCAGTGATAGGCTTAGGCATTTATTTCTTGTCTCAGGAAAGATGATGCAATAGCTAAGTTGAAGATGTCAAAGTTTCCATAGTCGGGGGAAGATTGTTTGATCGACATGTAGGTGTAATGATACCAACTATATAAAAAGATATTCTTAATTATTTTTATTTACTCTTCTTCAATTAATATGTTTACCTTCTGAGTTAGCCATTTATTGTGCTTTCATGTGACCTAATATACGCAGGTCAAACTGAGACTGAACATCCAGTTTGGAATTTTTTTCCGAAACATATTCTATAGAAGTGCGCCATAGTGTATGTCATCAGAACTCCCAATGAATAGGCAAAGTTTAACCTAAGTCATTAGTAGTGCCTTGAAGTCATGACTATCACTGATGGAGGAATACTGGATCCTGAAATGTTTGGGAATAGCAATTGTTTCTGTTTCCATTTTCTGTAATAATTCACTTGAGTGATTAATAATAGATCATCATGAAATACATATAAGATGAAATAAAAATAGATGACTGTTATTCACAAATGTAAACTAAAAAGAAATGACTAGAACCCCTCCAAAGAGATGCTATGAGAAGTTTAATGCAGGCAGTGGTAGAAATGGGGTTCTAAAGAACACCCCATGATTTGATTACTTGGTGCAATGCAGTTAATTAAGCAAATTTCTCTTCTTCCTGGTAAAAATGTATTGAACTATCTTTAAATCAGCATCATCAGTCAGCATACTTTACTGTTCTTAAAAATGTCTTCAGTTCTCAGCCTGGCCTTTAACCTTTCAATAAACTGGTCAAAATGTTTTTTTTTTTTCTATATATATTATGCACCTTTCTTCTTTAGTTCTTTTGAATCATCACAAAAGTACACACTTACCTTTCCATCATTGAGCTCTTGATTCCTCTGTATGTTATGCCTTTTTCTTTCCCAAACTTGCCACCATTTTGGTTTAGACTAGTTGATACTCTCAGTTCAACTTAAGTAGCACCTCTTCCTAGAGATAGTCTCTTAGGAGAAGAGTCAGTTGTCCTTTCTATCTTTGTCATTTTCCTTGTAGTTTTATAGCTTTTGTACAAAATCCTTACTATAATTCCTTTTAACAGGTTGTAATTATTGATTTTATTTTTCTTCCTCATTAGACAGAGACCAACTTGAACTCAAGGTCTGTCTTTGTTTCTTTCTGCATCGCTAGTACTCAGTACAGTGTCTTGTACAGAGTTGATGTTCAAAAAATATGTAAAAAAGCAAATAATTTGAAGTTCACATCCTGAAGTCTTTGCCCAGTTATTGACTCCTTTGTGAGGTCTCCTTTGGTTTCCTCAGTGAAGGCTAACTCTCCCTCAATATAATTCTGGTAGCTTTTTCCATATATCCTTTAGAATATTCCAACAGGTATTATAGATATTTAGGTTCATGCCTTATCTTTGCCTAGCATATTGTCAGGTACTTAAATATAAAGTCCATGTTAAATCCATTTTTATTAAACATTTTATTCTTTGAGTTGACTATTATCTTGACATAGTCAATATAGATATGGAAATGAATGGTAAATCAATAAAATTTGAGAGGAAAAAGAAACATACATATCAGAAAAGTCATTGGGTTGAAATTTTGTTCATTGAAGTAGTATGTTAAAGGAAAAGCATGTTTAAAAAATCACCAAACAGGGCCTCCCTGGTGGCGCAAGGGCTGAAGACACAACCTATGAAGCTGTCCACAACCTCTACAGCAGGAGTTCGATCCCCGGCTGGCCAGGTAGCAACCCACATGGCGCAGCAGACCTCTTCTGTCTTGCCTGCTGCTCCCCTCAGCAGTGTATTTCAGTCAGTCTGCATGTTCTGCTCCCCGCTCTGTCTCTGGTGAATCCTCTCACCCTCCTGCACCTCTGGCCTGTACCCCAGTTCTAGTATACATAAATAAATAAATCTTTTTAAATAAATCACCAAACAATTTAAAATTTTAAAGTATAAGTCAAAATTAAAATGCTACATAAAATAATCTGTTGAATCAAATTCTTCTCAAATAAAATTTAGGAAAAAATAGTAATGATTTAAATGTTGGCTTCTTAAATGTTGGTATCAAAGTCCAAGAATTATGTTACTACGAGATAATACTAGAGTAAAAGAGAGGAGACTATACACATATATACACAGGGCAATTTGTCTGAAAGATCTGTGATAAAGTTTAGAGCTAAGGCAGTAACAGTGGGAATAAGAAGAGATGTTTATGAGGGAGAATTAAATGGATTTGTTCATTGACAATATATGGAAAAATTAAATATGGATGAAATGCAGAGCTGAGGGAATTAGTTGAATGTTGACATCATTAACTGAGGAAAGAATAACTAGTCTTGAGAAGGGGTAGGAAAAAATAAAACATCTTATGTTGACTTTTAAATACCTGGTCACACTGTACAGTGGTGGGTAGATGCAGGTGGAACTCTGAATCTGGGCCACAGAAGAGATGAGACTGGAGATATTTACTACTTAAGTTGAAGTAATGAGAAAGGAGATATTTACCCCTGGAGAAAAAATATGGAACAAGACAATATAATTATGAAAGTCAGAAAATATCAAACTGTGAGAGAAGAGAATTCAGTGAAAGAGATGCAGAGGAGAACAAAGAAGTTGGAGAGAAGGGTTTTGTGCAATGACAGTGAAAGGGACTTCCAATCTAAAGAGTAGTCTGTAACAGGGCCAAATAAATAAAACAAGTTATTTTTTATATAATATAAGCATGATATCTAGAAAAATATAAACAAAGTCAAATAAAGTGGGGTCCTAAAAATCTATTAAATCTGGAAGTTTAGGAGGGCATTTGGGGATCTTAATGGATATTATGTGAATGGGGTGATAGGGAGAGAAATTAAATTGAGAAATGGGTAGGAGGTAAGGAAAGGGAGGTCATGTGTTGGAGGGATAGTATGAGAAAACAGAAATGAAACAGGCAATTTATGGCCATGTTTCTCTGGGCAAGTTACCTGAAATTAAAATTCTTTGTTTCCACATTTGTAATATGAGGTGATGATGATATTACCCTTTCTTGTGATGATTAAGTAAAATAATATATGTAAAGTGCTTCAAACAGTGCCTAGCCCATGGCAGCTTCCCAACAAATTATTTATTAAGAAGTGTGACATGACGGCATGTTTTGGGGCACAGGGTAAGGATCATGTGTAGAGTTTGGTTTTTACTTATTTGATCAAAAGTAGATTAAATGTAAGAACTGAGGAGAGGACATGGAAAATGAGATAAAAATTGACTGGAGTCAAAAGAGGTTCTTACATGAAATTCTGGAAAATTTGATCAGCACACATATTTATTAAATAGATTTCATGGGTCCATGCAAAAGGAACTACAATAAGGTATTTGGATGGAGTATTAGATATAGAAACCTTCTTTATTTATACCCCCCAAGTCTCAATTTTATAATGATATACACAAATATGATGATGCCCACACATTGTATCACAACACTTTTTAAACGTGTCTCTCACCCCTGTATATTTGTGAATGCTGTGATGACAAAAACTGTTCTCACCATTGGTTCCCATCTCTTAACACTGCCTGCTCCTACCTGGAACTCTGTAGGTACTTACAAAGTGTCTGGTGAAAGAATGAATAAGTGAACAAATTGCCTCCTTTTCACATCATCCTGTCATCTGAATAGGGGGAATGGACATCATTATAGAGACTCCTTGATGAGAATCTACAGCTGAGAGGAACCACAAAAGAGTGTGTAAGAAAACCGGGGACTCCTGCCTAAAAGTACCAGGCAGAAGTGCGACTGCTCTGTCTGTTATTTATTAAAACAAATATCCATCGCTTTTAGCCTTAGGAATTTAGAGATTGAAACTGACAAAAAGCTGGGGGGCTAACCTTCCATGTTGGTTTCTGCTAACTGCTGGGAACACTTGCTTCAAGTTCAATACAGTTTTCCTGGAAAATGGCAAGTTTGTTAAGATCAGTAAGAGGCCAGGAAGTAATGACCATCAGCTGGTTGACTTTCTAACTATGTGCAGAGCAGAACGTGGGGCCTGACAATGAAGAAAAAAAGTGAGTGCACCTTGCACAAGGAGATGAGGTGAATCAAGAAGTAACTTGTATTCTGGGTGAACCTTCTTGATCATGTAATTTCCTTGAGACAGTAGAATGCTTAAAAACTGACAGGTGCTTTTTCTTTTAATTGATGTGGTATGTGTGACCAAGCGATTTATTTTTTAGCAATCTTTTTCTAGTGATTTTCCCTCTGCCACCTCCCCATTTCACTACTTACCTCAGATGAGTATGATTCCTACCTGCAACTTCTCTTCAATCTTTCATGAGTGATGCGGGCACACGTAGGAGGATTTTTCTGACTCAGTGGGAGGCCCTAGGTTCTGCTTTGTTGCTGGCAGAGTCCCTCTGACTTCTGATGGATGGCCTGCTGTTTCTTCTGGGGGAAATCATTTGTTCCATTACTCCACAGGGCGGAGGAAGCATTTATGAAAATCAAACTGCTTTGACAAAACCAAACTCCTTTAAAAGGGAGAGTCTCCTGAACTGACTGATGTTAGGACTTTTTTTTTTTTTTTTTTTTGCTGGTGAGATAAAGACTAAATTGAAAATCAGAGTAACTCTTGTCCCCTGTCCCTGCCCACCTCCACTGCCCAGGATCCAGGTTCTGGGACAGAGGAAGGAACTACAGTCACTAAGGCAGGTGATGAAACCCTCAGTGAGACACTACCTCCCAGCTCTGTTTCCTTCTGTTCCTACATCCACTATACACTTTATTTCTTCATTCCTTCGTGAAGGTAATATGTCAGGCATTAGACACTCGGGGTGTAGGCTTTAGAAGTACAGCAGGTCCTCAGATAACATTGTTTTCATTCCACATCCTTTTGTGAGAACATTAATGGGGGAAATATACCAATCTGAAACTGAACAAAATGTCATTGGAGGGTTGGGTTTTTTACTTTTCTCTTGAAGTTTCAATTTCCAAGAACCATGGATGACATTAAGGGAGAGAGGGAGCCCCACTCAGACCGTGGGAATAGTCAAAGTAGTATCATCATAGAAGAGGGTAGAAGAATGACAATGAGTGTCTTTTTTTGATCGCTGAGTAAGATTATGCTAGATGCCATTAGTCAGAAGGAAAAAGATAAATACCAATGGTCACACTTGCATGCGGAATATAGAGAAAATCAATGAAAGATGAAGGAAAATTCAGAACTAGCAAGCTGACCATAGAACTGAGGCATATAGCAAGGGAGAAGGCGGGAGGGGGACGGAAAAAGGGAAGGATGAACACAGGGAATGTGGTGATGGTTTATAGGTGATAGGGTGGTCAGAGAACTATGGGGACTACAGCCATGTAAGAAAAAAAAAATAATAAAAAAACTAAAACAAGAAGCGGATGGAAGAAGGCAAGGCATATGAAAAGGTCTCATCAAAAGATAGGAAATATACCAGGAGAGAGTAATGAAATGGAGGCCACAGATAAAGGAGGGAGAAATTGGAAATAAGAGATTCTCTGGAGAAATAAGAAAAGATAAGGAATTGAAGTATCTATTGGGTTAAGGAAAAATTGTCATCTAGCCAGTGGCAATAATAGTTTCTGTGGTAGAGCAGGGGGTAAAAACTCTTAATAGGTTAGAGATGGTGTATTAGTTTTCTATTGCTACATAGTAGATTATAACAAACTAGTGACTTCAAAAATAACTATTTATTTTCTTTTGGTTTCTATAGGGTAGAGGTCTTGGCACAACTGATCTGAGTCTTTGTGCAGGATCTTACAGATTGAAGACAAGGTGTCAGTTAGGTTGCATTCTCATCTACTAGGGAAGGATCTGCTTGTAAGATCCTCATGTTAATAGCAGAATTCTGTTAATAGCAGAATTCAGTGTTTGAGGCTGTAGAATTCATGGCAGCTTGCTTCTTAAAGCCACCTAATGAGAAAAGGAGTCACTGCTACTTTGATGTACTCTTTTGTCCTCTTTTAAAGAGCTCACTTGCTTAGGTACATACCTGTTAGATGCCCATAGATTTTATTTACACCTGTTAAGTGAACTTAAAGTCACTTGATTAGGTGTCTTAATCACATCTGCAAAACCCCTTCTTCTATACCAGTTTCTATTACACAAGTCACATATTTAAGAGGGGTATATACAAGGGCATGATGTTTTGGGAAGTCCCCGGATGGTGTGTGGACCACACACAACAAGCGAAGAAATCAATAGAGTGACTGTATGGAATAGATGTGACTGAGAGGAGATCAGCACAGGTCTGGTGCAAGGAAAATCAGGGCCTGCTGACATCGTGGTATATGCCTGTGCACATATCTTCATAAGTTAGCCACTGCTGTTTAACAAACCATGCCAAAACTTTGCCTTTTCAAAGAACAATCATTTATTTAGCTCAAAAATTTGCCTGTGTGCCTCTACAAATTTGGGAGAGGCCCAGTGGATCTTTGCAATGGTTCACTGATGCATTCACAACCCAGCATTTGATTGCTGGGTTGGTAACTGGTACTTGGTTAGCTTCTGGTGTCTGGTTAGTTGTGATATGGTCTTTCATCCTCTAGTAGACAAGCCCAGGCTCACTCACCTCATGCAATGTTCTGCACTGAGCTAGTCAGTAAGCTCCAGTGCACAAATGCTTTTCAAGCCTTTATTGCTTGTTTGATACGTGAGTCCCTTCTTATCCATGATTTTGTTTTCCACAGCTTCAGTTACATACAATAATATATTTTGAGAGAGACCACATTCACATAACTTTTATTAGAGTGTATTATTATAATTGTTCTATTATTATTGTTGGTCATCTTTTGCTGTGCTTATGCAATTATAAATTAAACTTTATCATAAGTACATGTGTATAGGAAAAATGGTATATTTTTGATCTGGTACTATCTGAAGTTTTAGGCATGTGCTGGGAATGGAAAAAATTTCTTTTGGATGGGGGAGGTGGTTACTGTGTTTATGAATGCCCCATTGGACAAAAAAATCATATGACCAGCTGAGATTAAAAGATGAAGAATAGGACTTTGCTTCTTCAGTACAAAGAGTAGAGAACTGTAGGCAATTTTACAATCCACTCCATGACATTTATTATTATACTTTTTAAGCTTGATCTAATTTATATTTATGCTAGGATGAGAGAAATAGAAAGAAATAGAAAAATTATGGGTACGTAGTATATGAGGGAGAACTTAAGGAATGAAATTCCTACAAGGCAAGAGCTCCTGTGATTCAAAGTACACAGGAAAGTTACATTTAAAAAAATGAAAAGCTTCATTTTCTTATAGAATAAAGGAAACACAATGAAGGTAGATCTAGAAAAATTTGGTTTCTTGGTAATCAAAATTTTCATTGGAGAAAACGAATCTAGTTTGTCTGTTGAGTACAATGAGAAAAGTGATAAATAGATAGTATGTGTACAGAGTGTTAACTTTTTAGAAGACCTGTTGTTTAGAACAGAAGAGATCATGTTGTTTCCATCATTGTATTGTGGGAGTATATGATGTTGAGGTATGAAGCTGTACTCCAAAATTATATAGCTATGTAAACTAATATCAAAACATTCAAATTTGATTAAAATAAAAGAATATATAAACTAGAGCTAATAACACCTATCTTATAGTGTCACTCTACCATATGAGTGACACTAAATAACTGTTACTTTCCACAGGTAGTTGACTCTTAGTGCTGTAGTTTTTATTTAATATGACCTTCAATTTTGACAATATGCCAAGGTTATATTGTAGTCTATAATCTCAAGGCTAAGTTCCCAGAAAGAACAGTCCAATAATTATAAAATAACTAAGCATGGTATTAAAAATCTATTATTTAATAAAGTTACAAATTCAGATGGTTTAAAAAATAAAGGTAAAATAGAAAGAGGAAAAAAAAAAACAACAAGAGAGGAAACTGAGGTTCAAGTAAAAGAGAGGAAAAATACAACCAACCAACCAAAAAAGCTGAGATGTAGAGGACCCAGTTAGGACTATAAACCCTAAATTTTTGGTGACACTAATCTATAATTCCTTACCCAGATGATATGTGATTTAAGGAAAGGTGTTCTTTCTGCATAGAAACAGGCAAGTTCTATGTCACTCTCAACTCACATGCTTGCATAGAACAAATCTCTGTAAATCAAGTGCAGTGACCCTGCCAATCACATCAGAGTTGTGTTAAAATTTTTTTATAGCAGCATTAAGGGGACTAGCTCTAGAAGCACTGTGGCACTTGATGGGTTTGCTTGTTACCTAGAGTATTGTGAATATATTCCAGAGGTCAGGATTGGGTTTTTAGGAGAAAAGCAATTTGAGAATAACTCAGAGGAATGTGATAAGGTGGCTCAAGGATTCCAAAGAGGCCTAGGGGTTAGAAAACATAGCTCCTAAGAGGTGTTTGAAGCAAAGAAATCAAAAAGGATGAGAGAAGTGGTGGAGCAGACAAGAATAGGCTTGAGAGAGAAGGGATTAGAGTAACAAAAACTAGCAAATAGTGTAAGTGTTGTTAGTGGAAGAGAATGAAGGAATGGAAATATTTTGTAGCCATCAGAAGAGAAATTTATTATCTCAGGTAAGGGATTTACAGGAAAAATTGTTCAGTGAAGGACCTATTCTGAGCTACTTGACAGGTATTCATTTTTTGTTTCTTCTTAAAGTTATTCATGTCTTTAGCCCCTCTTTAAAATAATTCTCAATGAGAAGAATTTAGGAAAATCAATCTTTTTTGTAAAAAAATGTATTCCTAACTCCTATGAATTTTCTGAAAATATGATGCCATATTTTTATATTAGTATAAATTAATAAACTATCTGGATGTATTACAATTAGAAATTAATATATTGCAAATACTTATTAATATAGTACATAGAAAAATAGAATAAAATGATATGTAGATTAATATAAACAGTAACATTCAGTCTTTCTTTTAGAAGTTCTCCAATAAACAATTATTAAAATCAATAAAATTCTGAATTATATTACATAAAATATGTCTCAATGTAGCAGAATATTTTGTAACTAGCAGTCATAATCTTGAGAAAGTTGGAGTGCATAGTTTTATCCTCTAAAATTACAGCCCTATGATTTTAACAATGATAATTTTGTAGATAATCAGGATGAGTTAATATTTCTCATGTTAAGTTGAAATTATTTAGAAACAACAGGACTGAAAAGGTAATAGAATTTTTTTGTTCTTACTATAAATTTGCAATATTCTTTACCAAACAGCTGTTGTATAACATATAAATATACTATGCATGGTCTTGAAATTTCTTTATTCCTTCTGTGAGGAAGGACCTGTCATTGGAAACAATTAGAGAAGCTCTTTCATTTATGATTAATCAAATGCATTAGTCATATAACATTAGCTAAGCAGAGCTGTTTCTAGGTATAACTTAAACAAGATTTCTTTAAGATTTCTTTTTCAATTTGATTAAATTCTGTTGGACTTTCAATTATCCTTGATTTTGGGGTATTCTGGCTTATGCCAGTGTTTTCTGTGGCAGGAATTCTGTGCTGCAAATAAGCATGTGAATGAACTTATTACATATAGAAAGAAAGGTTTTTTTTTTGGGTGGGACCCTCGCCGGCGGCCAGGGAACGAACCGGCGCTACAGAGGTTGCGGGCAGCCTCGCAGCCCAGCGCTCAACTGCTGCGCCACCAGGGGAGGCCCAAGCAAGGTCTATTTTAAGTATGTTTACTCAGACACTTAGAAGTCTGGATGAGTTGTTTAAATTGATCAGCTTCAAATATTTTTAGAACTCAAAGCTATAAAGTATGAAAATCTTGCATTGTGTCTTATGGACATCTCAACATGTTCTAAAGCAAAATCAAGAAATATCTATTACTGTATTTGTAAATCAAGTTTTTCCCATGTTTAATTGGTATGTTCATATACATTTTCTCTGCAATATAATGTACTGCATATATCCTATATATTAATACAGTTAATACATGCAGTATATTTGCATTTAAGTTATTAATAATATATGTCATTAATATTTTGAATAGCTCATATTCCCTTAATTCTTTTCTAGACTCAAGTATTTTTCTCTAGTGGACAGATAAAATCAAATCAACAATTTTGAAGGATATCTGTTTAAAAGACTTGGTTCTGGAATCATAATTTCAGTATTTGTTTAAAGTGCTGGATGATTTTTAAAATAGTGTGAGAATGCATACACCCTGTTATTTCACAGGTTTTTCTTAGTCTCTCATGGGAAATAATATAACTTTTTTCTTTTTATTTGATGTGGGATTTGTGGGTTGCATCATTTCCGGCATATTACATTTTGCTTCTTTTGAAATAAAAAAAAAATACCTGATTCTCCCAGGAGAACTTAAATCATTATTTAAATGTTCATTCTGGAAGTACTTTGGAAAATATATGGTAAACAAAGATCTATATATTGAACTTTACTTTCACTCTTTCAATTTCACCATGAATGCTGTTGGTGGGTGATGCATCTTTTGAAATCTGAGCCTTTTTTTTCAGGTTAAAATAGGTAGGAGCAATCCAAGGGTTTAGGATTTTAAAAACTTGAAGTTTGTTACATTTTTTAAGGATTGTGGCCATTATTGTTATTATTGTTTATATTCTTACAACAAAAGAAAATCTATTTTCTAAAGTGAATTTTGAAATTTATGGTGTTGGTGATTTTAAGTCTTTTGTAATCACACAATTCTAGATTAAGATGACTAAGATTTCGTCAATGATTTATTTTCCAAATGGAAACATAAATATAAAATTTCACGTTGTCTTTCATTCTGTGAAATATATAAGGTGATGTGTATAATACTTCATAGTCTATTCATATTTTATTTCAAATTTAAAGCAATGACTCATTAGCAGAGCAGGATTCCTTTCATGTTTGTGGAGATTTAAGGTGCTTCCTTTTGTATAAATTGTGTTTTAACATAAACACACAATTAACAAGAATCAGTTGATAATTTCACAACTAATGTCCTATTAAATCTGTCTATTTCTTTTTCCTCTAGTCAACTTCTCCCACTACCTCTGAGCAGCTTGCCTGTAAAGCACCTGCTTTCTCCTTTGTTTCTTCAACTAATCTGAAAACACCACCTGACCCAGTTAACCTCGACGGAGCCTCTGTCCTAGAGGAGTTCCACACTAGGAGACTGGATGTCAGTGGGGCCCTGGTAGAAGAAACAGCTACGTATTTTCAAACTTCCGCTCACTCTTCACCTTATTTTGCATTGAAGGGCACCTCTTCAACGTCAGAGTTTCCCCACTCTACTCAATTATCAGGTTCTAATTTATCCAGTTCAAGTACAGCAGCTCAAAGTCCTGGACTGAAGTCTGAAGTTCTGAAGAAATCAACAGATTTAACTTCAGATGTACTTAGCTCCAGAGAGAGTCCTAGAATATCTTCTTCTTTACCATCCTCCAGTGCTTCTCTCAAGTCGAATTCAGCCTTGTACATACCAGTCCGTATTGTCATGCATTCACTTTCTCCAAGTCCAAAGCCATTTACCTCCTCTTTCCATGGCTCTTCTTCCACTATCTGTAGCCAAACGTCATCTACTGGAAATCTCTCAAAATCAGGAGCGAAATCCCAGGTGCCCTCCCGACTTTCCCTTCTCACTGCAATCCTCAAGTCAAACCCATCTCACCAGAGGCCCTTTTCCCCTGCATCCTGTCCTACATTCTCTCTCAACTCCCTGGCTTCTTCCACACTCACACTTGATCAAAAAATAAAGCAAGCCCCCCACACACCTAAAAAATCTCTCTCAAGTTGCTCCCTGAGAGCCAGGTCTCCGGAGCAAGAAGAAAACCAGTTTTCTGAACATAACCAGCAATTCTTTCACTTGCCCCTTTTCACCAAATCTGCTCCCTTTTCTCAGGTACTTGACCCTACTCCCACAAAACATGCCACTGACAGCCTTCTTTCTTTGAATGTAGAGAAAATTCTGTCACCCACTTCTTTGAAGAGCAGTCCAACACTCTCCCTGCTACAAACCAATATATCGAGTCCTGCAGGTCTTCCCCCCATACCACCAAGCTTATCTCCTCTTTCTTCAAAGGGCAAACAAGATGCTGACCTCACAGGTCCAGAAAAAAACAAGAGTACTCACATGCATCCTTCTACATCAGCCTCCTCTGAATTCTCTTCTGTACCTCCTCCCACTAACCAAGGAGCCATGAACTCCTCACCAGAGAAAAGTTTCCATCCTTCCCCAATGCTTTCAAATCTCATAAACAGATCCAAGAAAACATCACCACAGCTATTTGGCCAGAGGGAGACTCCTTCAATTCTTCCTTCACCCCCTGTCTCCAGTGCTAGTTCTGCTTCGCTCCACAATTTGGGGTCTTCTTCTCTCCCTTGTGCTAATCTACCTACCCAGGTGCTCCAGCTCAGTCCCTCAGCACTGCACGCAAATTGTGGCAGTGGTAGTTTGCCTTCAAGACTTGGGAAGTCTGAAAGCTCAATATCTAACCACAGGTCAACTGTTACAACCCCATCACCTCCCAACTCTCTCTCAAGAACCAAGGAGCTGATTTCACCTTATACATTGTCCCTGTCAACAGACCCTGAAAATAAGAAACCTAAGGTACTTTTTGCATGCTGCATGGTGCATGCTTATTTTGAAATATGGAAGAATCTTTTTTCCAGGGGAAAAATCAGTATTTGTGATATTCATTCTGTTCCTACAAAGAAGGAAAAATACAAGGGGGGTAGGATTTGGTTTGTTTGGAGATGAATTAAAGCACATGGTTCTGTAAGACCCTTTGATTTTACAAGTACTCCTCTGGGCAACTTCTTATATCTATGTCTCCAATGATCTTTTTTTTTGGTAGGTACAATATGAGTTATCTCATTGATTACCATCGATCCCAGGCAGCTTGTTTAGACTTGGGAATATGACACCTTTTTTATTATTTAATAAGACCCTAACATCCATCAATATATCCTATACTGAAGGAAGAGTAGACGAGATTAGTATAAAATGAAATATTATCTTAGGTCTTGGCCAAGCCAATTTGAAAATTTTCTATTTCTTTTTGCCTGCATTTATTAATTATTATTTATTTTCCTCCACTTTTATGATGATGACTTCTTTATTGCTCCCCAAACCACAAACTAAACCAAATATGAATTTAGCTAAATACACATCAGACTGAAAATAATATAAATTTGTGAAAATTATTTGGTTTATTATAAACACTAAATACTTTGTAATTAGGAAATACAGGAAGGATAAACAGCTGTGTATCAGGAAATAGAATTAAGAGAGGAGAAAAGTTGGCTTTTAAATGCTTTGAAGCAACCCACTGAGCAAGAATGTGAAACCAGTATTTATGTTAATGTGAAACAGGCATTTATTTTAGCAATAGAAGGGAAGCATTTGAAGGAGTGGCCTAGAGAATTCGTTTGTCTTGAGAAAAAGAAACTGCCGTAGAGAATGTTGACTTCCCGACTATTCTCAAGTAATTCAGGATGTGGACCTTATATCCCCAGAATTTGATAATTCTTGTATAAATAAAATAAAATTATGAAAGTGACTCTATTAGCAAGGGAGGGGGATGTTCAATACAGTATATGGATAAACAGATTTTAGAGCTTCCAAACACCATGGAGACTGTGATCAACTCTGTCATGTTGAGATAGTGAACTTAAGATGGGCAAGATAAAATAACCCACATATTCTTCTTAATGATTGTGCAATACAATTCAACTATACATGCTTGCATCAAATACCTACGGTCTATTAGGTTTTCTGGGAATTTTTTTAAGGGAAGTAAGAGAGATATTTTGTCTTAAAAGTAATTTTATTTAGCAGAAACAAATACACATAATGTGGAAAAATTGTATAGCACTATTAAATATCCAATAAGGCTAGAAAATAAGTATAAGGCAACATTAACATAGTGTTTTATACATTATTAGATAATTATTGCCTGAGTTTAATATAATAGAAATATTATGTAATATGGTAAAGGAAGTTATAATTTCAGAAATGGTAAGCAACCTGACCAAATATATAGATGATCTCAGAGAACAACATATGGAGACATACGATGGTCTGTATCAAGTAGTGATGATAGTAATGACAATTAAAGTCACAGATGTGAATTACAAAAGTGAATTATAGAAGTAGTTATTATAAAATAGTTAAAAATTAAATTAATTTTTCATTTAATTTCTGTGAGTTTGGTAATATTTCTATATCCATTTGACACACCAAGAAATTTAAATTCAATGAATAGGTCATATATCATGTACTGCCAGAGCTGACATTTATATTAATTTAAGTCTATGATTTCTTGAAGCCATATTCTTTGTTACTATGATTTATTGCAACAAAGTAATTACTCCTATGATCACTTTAACCCTTATTTAATAATTTTTATGAAGGAGAGCATCATTATTATGTAATAATTACCCAAATTCTCAATATATATGATGTTAGGGTCATTTAAAAATGTAACTTTTTAGAGATTGTTAAGCCCTTGTATTTCAAACTTTCAAAGAAAATGGGTTGGAGAAAAATCTAAATTTTTTTGTAATTGTAAATTTGAAAATCTTCTATATTTGAGGTAAAATGACCTGGTCATTATCATTTCAATACCTATGTGTGGTTATGGAAATAGTTTATGATATAGTACAAAAAAAATACAGTTGACCTAATAATTTCTTTTTTCTAAAGTTACTAACAATTTTAAAAATCATTCTCCCATACAATTCTATTTTTCATAACCTTTGTGAAAAGTGATTTTATGCCAGAGGCTCCTTTAAAATGTTTCTGTCTGTGGTTTACTCTGCTTTGTTCTTGTTTTGTCCTTTTTTTTTTTTTGAAAGCTGGAAAAAGGGGAGCCCAGGGTTTTTGATGAAGTCAAGTTCTATTTGTTGAAGACCTGTTCTTCCCCAGCTACTCACTGCTCCTAATATTGAAGAAATATCAGTTTTTGCTTTATTGTGTAATTTCTTTATTTTCAAGTTAGTAAAATGCTAGCTTAGACATGCTTTCAAAAGCTATAGAAATGATGATATATTTAGTGATCAGGAAAATATGAAATATGATTATAATTTATCTACTTTTATCTGTTCCTTTGAATGGAAACATTTTTCTTATAAGAGGCAAAATTTATGATAACTCCTGCAAAAATAGCTGCTCTGAGACATGCCGTTCTTTGTCATATTCATTTCCCTCTTTTTTCTTCCTATTATGTCAGGTATTGCTCAGGTAAAAATCAGCCTATGTTTTATTTATTGCAGAGTATTATTTGCAAGAATTTTGATTTTAGTATAAAAATTCATTAAATTGATGCTGGAATAGATAGATCATATCCTAGTTTCTTTTGATGTTTGACTTGTTTTATTTACATTGCTAAGATTATTTTATGGATTGATAGGAGAAAATAGACAAAAGCTTAGTGATATAAAAAAATTAGATGCGTTCATGGATTGTTTCTTGACTTGCTACTTCCAGTATGGTGCTAATCCGAGCACAGGGCTCGCTTTGAAGTCAAAGAGCTTCAGATTTAGATCAGTTTTTCTCAGTGCCAGCTCCCAAATGGAAAGAGGTCCTAGAATATAGATGGTCATCAAATTAAAACATGAATGCTTGAAAGATATTAGTTCAAAGACTGGGCCCTACTGTACTTTGATATTAATAAAATGGAACAGCTGGAATATGCTGAGCTAGTCTCAGGTAAAAAGCATGTTTGATGTTTCTTTTCCATAGATAGAATCTCAAATTTCTGAATCTCTTTGCATTCGTTTGATATAATTGATATGTTTTAATTTCAGATGTAGCTCAAAAAATGATTTTACATTATAATCATGACCCTAGACAGGATGGGCATCTCCTGAATGTTACTAGGCTGCCTTTGATCATCATCTTTTCTGAGACTTTTTTTCTCCCTCTTGGAAAAGTCTAAAATACTACAAATTTAATCCACGGTGTTGTATCTGGGTTCCCAATGTGTTTTGCTTTTATTTATAAAATCATTTAAAATTTTTCTTCTAGTGAGTTACCATGAAGTGCCATTTCAGAATTTGGCTTGGCCATTCCATGCAACTTGCCAGTCACTGAAGATGCTCTGAAGCTCTTTTCTAATTATGTGGCCCCCCAGTGGCAGGTGTGCTTGCCCAGACCCAAAAGCTATTTGGACATAGTTTGTTTAGAGGCTCTGTTGGGAGCATTTTTATATTTCATGAATTTTTATCATTGGTGTTTTATTCATGAACTTTCATTCCTTTAAGGCAACAGAACAATTCAAAATGTCACATTGGCAACTTGTGTGAATTTCTCCATTTCAACTGATCTGCATGTAATCTGGGATATGAGCAATATGGTAAATAGCCCCATGAGCTAAGATAGGTAAACTGAGTTCAATAACTCATTCATTCACTTGCTCATTCAATAAATATGTTGAGTGCTTATTATGTATAAGGCACTTTCCAAATCCATGAGGCTAGTGCAACAAATAAAATATGCAAAAATGCCCACTCAAAGGAGAAAGAGATACAATCAACAATACCATACCTCCCCCGCTTTCCATGTAAATTTTCCTGGGTCTTATAAGGTGATAAGTGATAAGGAGGAAAGTGTAGCAGGGTAAGGAATGGTGTCATAAGTATATATTGGTGGTCAAAATAAATTTCTTTGAGAATCTGACATCCAATGAGGTGACATCTACTTATACACCTTCAGAGAATATAGTCAGGAAAAATCTCTGAAACCAGAGAGGTCTCGGCAGCTATAGAGAGCAGACAAGGGACTGGGAGGGTGGGGCATTGTGACAATAGTGGTGTGAGGGGAAGTTGAGGTTGTCAGAGGAAGGTGTAAGTGACTTTGAGCTGAGTCTTGTGGGGTCTTATAAGCTACCTCTAAGTCTTTGATAGAACTTCTGTGCCTTTATTTTTCCTTTATCTCTTTTTGCTTTAAAATCTTTTACTCTGGGGCCTCCCTCATGGCATAAGGGGTTAAGCACTGCACTATGATGCAATCTGCAGTCTCTGCAGCACAAGTTTGATTCCTGGCCAACCAGGGAGCAACCCACATGGCGAGGTAGACCTCTCCTGTCTCACCTGCTGCTCCCCTCAGAAGTGTATTTCAGTCTGTTCTGTTTCCTACTCTGTCTCTGGTGGATCCTCTCACCCCTTACAACTCTGGCCTGTACCCTAGCTCTTCTTTGCATAAATAAACAAATCTTTAAAAACATAAAAATAAATAAAATCTTTCACTCTATCCCTGCTACACAGTTAATGGTGCCTTTCTGGGGATTCCAGAATTTTCATGATTTTCCCATTTCTGCTCTCCCTCACTTCCTTTGCTGTATTAATTCAGTATCCCATCCCCTTTTCTTCTCTCCAGCTAGCCTTTCTGAATTGATCTTAGCAATGATTCACAGGGTCTGAATTGACACCTAGCAGCAAGTGTCAGAAGATTTTGACAAAAACTTTTCCTTTAGTCTTTGGCAAGTATTTGCATTTTAATTGAGGGTGCTTGAGAAGTTTAACTTAAAGAGAAGAGTTTTCAAAGGAAAAAATAAACATGAGTTCAAATTTTTGGAGGTTCATTTCTTTGAAGGAAGATGGCTTTAG